AGAACTCAGGAAAGGAACACACACTTGACTTGTACTGCTTGGATGTATATTTCTACTATCGATTCTATTCATTCTAACTCACTGAATCCAGTRATAACACGGGAAAGCGYGTGAGRRGYKGRWTYMWTSRRKTRAYACTTTATTCATTAGTTTTAGTCTCACAATCCTAATTTAGATACAATCTAAATACTACTACTACTAAAACAATTCAGTACACGTTATTTCGTGCACACTTCTACTACTCCTTCAAACATACTATAATCACTCCTGTAAAATTGTCAATAATGAATGTCCCTGTACCGCATGGTATGAGTATGAGTGCGAAATAAGGCTATTGATTTCTAACAGGTTATGAGTACATAAAATGTGCCAGTTTTTTGCTATCATTGCTTGTTGCTTGTTAGTAACTCTAGCAAAAACACCAATCAGAAATAGAGAATCTGTCAGTTGAAAAGGGTTTTCTCTTGTCTTTTGATACATGTGCACCATATTGCCATATAAATTTGATGAGTTCCACCAGTTCTGGCTTCTTGTTGATTTCTCTGCGCACCAAAAATTTAAAAAAACTCATGAACAGCACAACAACGTCACCTCCAGTCAGCGTATTAGTAGCAAGCTGTAACCTCTTTAGTTCTTCATCAATATCCAACCAATTGTGCTCACAAGACAAGTGTTCTAATCCTTACATTAAGGGATGAAGGATCTGGAAGTTGTGGATCAATCAACTGAGTGGTTTACAAGAAAGAGTAGATCTAAGCAGCAGCAATGTTGTATCAGCAGCTCGTCCATACTAGTATCAGTAGCTCGTTTGTAGCAGTACCGGTAGCTCTTCCATATCATGGAATTCGAGAAGGAAAATAAAACTAGAATAGTTTTTTCTTGACTGAAATTCTTGATGGAAAGGGGAGTCTGAGGGGGTAGAAAACCTAAAAATCCGGTATGAATTTTTTTTAAAGTACTAGACCATAGTACAAAATGAATGGCTGTTTTTAGTAGGCTCTATAAACTGCTGTTTCTTCCAGAAAATATACAGAGCCAATAGTCGCTGTTTCTTTGAAAGATAACAGTTTCTTCCACAAATACATTTTATGCTACTGGATGATGACAGTTTGACTTCCACTTGAAGCAAACCGCAAAAGACCTAATCAGCATCCTCCGCAGTTGATAGAAGTAGACAATAGCACGTGACACACAACTAGGACTATTAATGGTAAGTCCCTTAGTCGCAAGTTATTGGCAATTCCCCGGGTGTCAATTTTTTCTCATTTCCCCGTCTTTATTTCCCCTCTCCCCCCCCTCCAGAAAAAATATAACCAAGTCGCAAAATATTTCTATTTCTGGTCCTTACTACTTGGAATATCAAATCAGNTCTTTTCTTTTCTTCCAAATTGAAAATATATTGAACGCAGATGCAGTGCTTACGAATTACTTGTACTTCACTACTACAGTACTGGTAGTACCTTAAAATAGTACTGTGATGACCCCTGCACTAATGGGTACGTACTTCTACAATGTACCCCCACTGGGACGTTCGGTACCGACAAATTTACCACGTCAGCCATGCTATCAGGCGATACTGTGGTAGTGAAAGATATCCTACCAGAAGTGGACAAGAAATGCTACTTTTTAGTGTGCAATCTGGTAGCATTTTTTGTCCACTTCTGGTAAGATATCTTTCCTACCGCATGATTTTAAAGAAAATTGATAGTATCCCTTTCATGTGACAGCACTCATTTGGAACTGGTACTGGTAACAGTGCTGCTACACATGACTACTAGTAGTAGTAGTAGTAGTAGCACTTGTATGTAAAGGACAAGGGGAACAGCAAGCTGCAAAAAATCAACGTGAAATASCAACTTGTTGCTTGTCAACCATGGCATTTTTGCTAATTTTAAGCACTTCTACTCCTTCAAACATACTATAAGAATCACTCCTGTAAAATTGTCAATACTGAATGTCCCTGTACCGTAGTATGGTATGAGTACGAGTGCAAAATAAGGCTATTGATTTCCAACAGGTTATGAGTACATAAAATGCGCCAGTTTTTTGCTATCATTGCTTGTTGCTTGTTAACTCTAGCAAAAACACCAATCAGAAATAGAGAATCTGTCAGTCGAAAAGGGTTTTCTCTTGCCTTTTGATACATGTGCATATTGCCATGTAAATTTTGATGAGAACGACCAGTTCTGGCTTGTTGATTTCTCTGTGCACCAAAAATTCAAAAAAACTCATGAACAGCACAACAATGTCACCTCCAGTCAGCATACTAGTAGCAAGCTGTCACCTCTTTAGTTCTTCATCAATATCCAGAGCCAATAGTTGCTGTTTCTTTGATAGATAACAGTTTCTTCCACAAATTCATTTTATGCCACTGGATTATGACAGTTCAACTTCCACTTGAAGCAAACTGCAAAAGACCTAATCAGCATCCTCCGCAGTTGATAGAAGTAGACAATAGCACGTGACACACAATTAGGACTATTAATGGTAAGTCCCTTAGTCGCAAGAGTTATTGGCAATTCCCCAGGTGTCAATTTTTTCTCATTATCCTGTCTTCATTTCCCCTCTCCCCCCCTCCACAAAAAATACTATAACCAAGTGGCAAAATATTTCTATTTCTGGTCCTTACTACTTGGAATATCAAATCAGCAGTGCTTATCTCCAGCAGTATTAAGGACCACTAATAAAAATATGTTGGTACTAGCGAGAAATTAAACAATGGAAATATTTTTATTTTTGTCCGTTGGATGTCTTTTTTACTGGTTTTAACTGTAAAAATGAGCTAAAAATTTCTATTAGTAGTTGTACAGGGATTGCCAATAACTTGCTACTACGGGACTTGCCATTAATAGCTCTACACACAACAGTGGAAGAAGACATTACCCATACTATTATCGTACCCTACCGTACTACAATTCGTATTTTCATTAAGTTTTTAATCGTTAGTCGTGCATCCTCGCTTGACTGTTTCGGAAAAAATCGGTCCACTTTTTGAAACGTTTTTCGATACTTTCAGCAATGTATTCGTCAAGATGGTAATATTTTGACGACTGGATTGCTTTGCCCACCAAATAGATGTTGACGGAGCAATTCCTCATCGCCTGCCCACCAACAAATCGRTTACGATGACAACGCCTTCGACAAAACCTTCGTTTTTTGGAAAGTCGGCGAGGTTTGCTGTATTTTGTTGCTCTCAGTTGCTAGCTTTCGTTGCCATCTTCCGTAGCATCCTATCGCCAAGTTTTTCCTTCGTTGAGGAATATGGAAATTCCCCCTCGACATTCAAACAAAGTGGGATACACGCTGGAAGGGCTTTGATAGCAACGTCTTCCACTCCCAAATCCACGAGCGCGAGATTGCCAACACTAGAACATCTCGCGTCGATATCCGGGAATTACACATGTCCAAAGGGATTTAAAATGTTCAAGAACATCGTTTTGCCGCAAAATGTAACCCACGCCARTCGGAAAATTCCCAGAGTCATACACATGACTGCAAAAACCCGATGTGTAACCTCAGCTGTGAAAAGACACATCATGCAATGGAAACTTCCAGACCACAGTTTGTATCTCCATGACGATGCCGCTGTGTACAAATTGTTTGAGTATAGTACCAACGACCGCTACGGAAATGAATTGGTAAARAATTTGACGAGGGCAGCGACTTGCATGACGAATGGTGCAACGTTATCCGATCTATGGAGGTATTTAATGCTCTATCACTACGGAGGAATATACACAGACTTAGACAATTCACCCGGGGTCAACTATACTAGTGATTTGATACAGCCCGATACAGATTCCTTTTTCTTCGTTGAAAATCTTGGGACCATGTCTCAATATTACATGGCATCATCAAAGCATCATCCAATATTRCTACAAATTCTCAAGAGTGCAGTCCATAGTCTGCATTCAGCAACAGGCAATGTAATGGTTAATAATCCTGCCCACGTTACAGGTCCAGGAGCTGTGAAGAGGGGCATGATTGCATTTAGACATGCTGTCAACGCAGAATCCAATGGATATGAGAACGAAGGAATATATGATGGCGCACTTGGTGTTGAAACAGAATCAGCTCTGCCTTGGTATAATTTCAATCATATAGTCGATGACACGATTGACAAAGAATATCCATCTCCATCGGAACTRTCAAACCGCACCGTTACCGTACTGGGTCAAAAAAAAATGGCGAGCAAGTACATCGCTAGAAGTGGGTTAAAACCAAGGGCAAAACGTCACGCTTGGAAGAAGATGAACATGACTCACTATCATGGTGATCGCAAAATATTCACAAAGAGAAATCAAATTAGTTGTCAGCAACACGCGTCACGGATGATGACATTGGTATCAATGAATACGTCTTTCTACTTCAACAAAAGAATACCTGATTTGGTCGCYAAGTACGAATACCGATGGACGTATACGGATCAATATAATRATACAWTAGGGGACAATTACTTTGACGTCAACACCGATGAAATGATGATTCCCTGGAAAAAAGAGAAAGAAGATAARAAACAAAAGAAGAAAAAGAAGAAAAAAAGAGGACGAAAMAAAAAAAAGAGTGAAGCGGAAACTCAGATAGAAGGAAAGGAAAATAATATGACGAAAGTACTTAATGACCACAAACAACAGGAAAAGGAGCAACACAATGAAAACGATACAGCGATATCTAAAATTGTTGACATGGTTGACAATGATTCATATGAACAGAATGATAGCAATGAAAAGTCAATAAGTGCAAACGATAATACAACGATCGCCTTCGATGAGAGCACHGATATTGTGAACCAAACCAAAGGAATCGACGTGAACGACAGCGTAGCCATTGTGGAAGAAAATAGAGCAGTCGCAGCGAGCAATAGCGTTACTATTGTGAATCAAAATAAAACAATCGATGTCAACAAGAACACAAATATTATGAAACAGGAAAGGGACATGGAATTGGATGAAAGCGCAACTGTCGGGAACGAAACYACAAAAATCGATATTGAAGAGACGACGAGAATGCAACTGTAACGAGAGCAAAAATAGTCATGCTATGAACATTTTCGATTACTTCAAATGCTGACATCGCAAAATCTGATTCATTTTAGTACGAAAACTTGTGGAGCTGTGAGAGTCTAATAGTACGAATTGCTAATTAAGAAGATAGAAAATACCAATAGGACGAGGTTATTATTATGATGCAAAAGAAAGCATAWCTTATTTTAAATTTTGGCGCAAAAGAAACTGACAAATGAGGAAGTGTACCTGGTAAAAGTACTACAGTAGTTTCTTTTTACTCATACTCATACGTTCGTCAATCGAAGATGACTGACCCATCGTACATTTCGTACGGTACGGTACTACTGTACCGTTAGTACTGTATGACCAACTTGAATATTATTCGTGCGACCGAGAGAAAAATGAGGATGATACTGCAGATACCACTCAGTGATGAGTGAGTCATCTTAAMAGCAAAAAAATGCGCTTTGTTTGGTACSGTACGTACTCGTACTTGTACCGTTCGTACTTGCGATGCGATCCCGTACTGATCTGTTCGCTTCGAAAATCCCATCATTTCCACCGAACTGATTTTGATTTGTTCGATAGGTCTACGAGCGCGCCAGTTGCATAGATTACAATATCCCTCAYTAGTCAATAATACACCATGGTAACGTCATCGCKAAGCTATGGTATTCTATTTTGGCTGTCACTAGCGACGCCAAGGTATGTTGTGCAGCATGGGATGTATCGCACCGAAATGTACCTTGTCCTGATGCTCGCCAAGTAAAGAATTTGCCGAAATTTAATGGAACGCCGAAAAAAACTGGATTGTGYTCATGGTGTTTCTCAACTACAGTGCCAATTGTTTCCAACGCATGCGGTCGTCTAACTTTTCATTCGACAATCACTCCGATTCAATTTTCGACCATTGTATTCGATAAACTCAACCAATCAGCCATGTTGTTTCCGCCTTTTCGGCTTCCAGCATAGCCGCTCCACAACCTGCCACTACTAGTACTGGGTTACGAAACCCTATACTCGACGAGGAGAACAACAATGTCTACAATAAAATTGTGAAAAATGTTGCTGTTCCTGGGTTGAAGTGCGGAATGGATTACGTAAGATTGGGAGGCGACAGTGATTTGATTGTTTCGAAGGTCTGCATGGGTACCATGACGTATGGAATCCAGAACACCCTGGAAGAGGGTGTCGCTTTGCTAGATAAATCTTTTGATGATTACGGCATCAACTTTTTGGATACAGCAGAAATTTATCCGATTCCACCAAACGCAGAAACACAGGGTGATACCGATCGTTGCGTCTGCGAATTTTTGAAAAAACGCAATCGAAGCGATGTCATCCTTGCAACCAAAGTAGCTGGTCGGCAACCCATGTTGAAATACTTGCCACGGGGTGAAAATTCAAATCCCGAAGAAGGTGCCGACCTTACTCGCCAACAGATCTTGGAYTCCGTTGACGAGTCACTGAAAAGACTAGGGACAGACTACATTGATTTATTGCAGTTGCGTGAGTCTTTTTTGTTGTTTCTCTTCTGACTCAAACGACACCAACTCACACAACTCACATCCTGTCTTCTTGTTTCGYCTCGTAGACTGGCCCGGTCGAAGTACGGGTGGACTCTTCGGGGCTTCYGATTTCAGTCCCTCAGAATACGAAGCGCAATTTAGGAAACATGCACCCGTCGCACTCAAGGAGCAACTGTCTGCACTGAAGGAATTGATCGACTCTGGAAAAGTACGGTACTTCGGGGTTTCAAACGAAACTCCATACGGCATTTGTGCCATGGCAGCTCTATCAGATCATTTTCCAGAGTTATATCCGAAATGTGTTTCGATTCAAAATTCCTATTCCTTGGTTGTTCGCAAAGATTACGAAGCAGGTTGTGCGGAAGCCTGCTACCACCACGACGTATCACTATTGCCGTACTCGCCATTGGCAGGTGGAACGTTATCTGGAAAATACAGAAAGGATCTTCCCGATGACAGCACTGCCCGTCTGACGAAGTTTCCAGGATACATGGCTCGGTACTTGGAAAGCGAAAATGAAGCTGCCGTGAACGCCTACTGCGAATTAGCCGAACGCTACAATTTAACACCGACTCAATTCGCTCTRTCATGGTGCTATCACAACGAACTTGTTGCGTCAACTATTATTGGTGCCACAACCATGGAACAGCTGGAAGAGAATATCAAAGCATACGATCTTCATTTGGACGAAATTGATGTTGAAGATGGCATCATGCTCGACGAAATAAGCAAGATTTATAAGCGATACACAGACCCCACAAAAGCCAAAAACGATCCTCCTAAGAAATAATGGTCAAGAAGCAGTTTAAAACATTTAAGGAATGTGCCATTTCATCCAACTTCTTTTTAAAATCAGCTACAGTATCGCCTATGTGATCGATTGGTCGTGCATGATGCTTACTGTTGAACTTAATGACAACAATTTTATCAGTATCCCTARTTCTTCACGTACATGCAACTCAAGTGAAGGCTCGAAAGGCAAGAAAGGACAATGCGTTTGCAGTAAATATAACCACAGTTACTACTATGAAATACAACAATATATCTTCCAGCTCCATGAAGATGTGCTGATTAGCTGTAGAAGCAATTCACTACTAGTAATAGCTACTAGTACTAGTTATTCAGGACTTGTAACAATCACCAATACTGTTAATGAAAGGAGTATATCAATAAGAAGAAGCAAGAAAAATTCCATGAGATAACATCACCACTACTAGCAATGTCATAAAAACAGAAAGAAGTAGAATGGCATTGCACTGCTCTGAAGTACTACTACTAGTAGTAGTACTAGTACCACTACTACTACAACTACTACTACTAGTAGTAGTACTACAACTACTAGTAGTACACATCACTCAATCCTCACAGTGCTCAATTCTAGATTTCATAGTTTGTAGTACTAGTACTAGCGCTAGTAGTAGTAGTAGGGGAGCAGCACCAATAGAACCCCCCCCCCCTTACCCAGCAGTTCGCAGTGCTCACTACTACAACATCCCCACTAGTAAGTAGTAATAGGGATTTTCCAGTAATAAGCACTAATAGTAATTCTCAAGTAGTAAGCAATGAATTTACCTCTCCATTAGTTACGACCACAAATACTAGAAATATAGGGACAGTTTTTGTGTGCGGAGGGGCGGGGGGGAACGGAGACGGGAGAATGAAAAAAGAAAAAAAATCGAATTATTGTCGAACGAAACGTCCCTGGTGGCTGTTTAGTCGATCTGGATGATTCSCACGTACGTACCGGCACTGTAGCCTACAGTACTTCGTAAAAAGATTTCGACATGACAACTCTTGTTCCTCCACAGCCAATAAATAATTTTGATTTCACTTTTTTTGCCTGACTTCGAGGCCACACAATCACTKATTTTCGATCTTTCACATCATCAGTGCCAAGAAACTTGTCTGTGTCATGCAGATCGTCGTCCACTCCCYCTCACATAAAAGACTTGAAAGCTGAATTAAATTTTTGAAAATGTACACCGCTCACAACTATAGATGGTTGACCGGGCAGTAAGATCGTAGAGTTCCCAAAATGGAAAGGTGCAGGTCAACGTGCCATGGAGGGAAATAGGCACTTTTATTTCATTCGCTCCTCTTGATGTATGTGCATAYATAGCTCTGTCGTCATCTCACGAATGAAAATCATTTTTCGACGGATATTCACGAACTATCTTCTCAAATGGAGGATTTCAATCCGGTACGTAACCTTAAGCAACACTCATGCGTTGGTGTCACCGCACTATGTTTCATGAATAATGATATGCCACCGTCTCGAAAAAGCAACGTTTCCGATGACGTTACAACTGTTATCCCTGTCTGATTTACGAAGGATTGACAAAAGCATTACGTAACTTTTCAATATATTTTCCGAGGAAACATGCTTGAGCGAAAAAATGCGGAGGAGCAACTTGACGATTTCTGGCCATTCCTTCTCCTTGGCAAGGACCCATACGCCTATCAAACATCGTTGCGGCTAGTTTGTTTGTATCCTAGTAGGACGGCATACTCGCAGTTTCTTACCTCTGTTGCAAACTACGTTTCTRTTTCGGCCTTTTTTGTTCTTGGCACAACGCAATCATTTTTTCATCAACTAAATCRTCTTCGCAGTATTTTTGATTTGCTTCTTGCCACCGACGATCGGCCACCATAGCTCTTATTCGACCGGGACTTTTTTCGGAGATCGCGAAATCGAAAGACATAGAACTTGGCAGAAGGTAGAAAGTCGAAAGATACAGATGGTGTTTGGAATTTGCAATAAACAATATGTGTTAGAAGCCTATGAATCAGGATAGTATGTGGTATCTAAGCAGAAACCCAGCGCAATGTCTATTGATACTTTGTCGATCATCTATTGACTKTTGAACGACAGTGGCAAATCCTTGAGGCACCACCCCAGGTAGTTCATTGAATTGAGTGATTTAATTGATTTCCAGGAGCAGATGGATCCCTTCWAAAAGCATTGCACAAATGCAACAAGGGTGACCAACTACTGGTTCCTCACTCACACCCGGACACGCAGTTTCCAATATAACTACAGTATTCTATCTTCAAGTATCTGGAAGCATATTAGTCTCACTCATTTTTACTGGTATCGAGTCCAATATAGCTATGGCATAGTATCACATCCTGTCATATATCTTAGTCTTAATACCGATCAAGTACCAAGAATTAGAAGTTATTTTGAGAGCAAGTACGAGTGTTACAAATTTACAAAACGAGTAACGTACTACGGTAGCCTTCATAGATTCTTGTCACTACTGTATTTCGTATTAGCTCCCGTGGCGCCACAAGTGGTATGGTAGTACGTACCATACGTGACACTGTTCTATTATTGGCAGGAAATTGTTGATTCAATGTACGAGATGTCGGGTGTTTCACGAGAATCGGACATGAAGTCTTAAAGAGTTGGTAAATTACCCTATTGACTAGATAAATTATAAAAGTATGAGAATAACTCAGAACCACTTGGGATCCTGGTGACTTCTCACACTGTTTGTGATTATTTTGTACATCCGACCATTGGTGGATGCGCGCGCGAACGTCTGTCCCTCAACACACTCCTCTTTGCGGTTTTATGCGGGTAGGTTCCCCACGGCTTGCCGTGTAGGATTCTACTGTATATGGCCGCAACGCATTTATTGAGTACAGTCATCCACAGCTCTTGCTTGCTTTGCAGCAAAATAAGCTTGCTTGTATTTAATACAGTCCTCATTGCTGATTCCTTGGATAGTGTTCCTGAACTTTTGAAACTTACTCCCTTGTAGAGGCTTGGTGAAGTAGTCGGCAATGATATCATTGGTCGGACAGTACTCCACGGTTACCTCCCCTTTCTTGATTCGATCGGTGATGAAAAAATATCTGATATTGATGTGTTTGGTCCTTTTGGTGCTCGATCGCTGACCGTTGCGCTCCAGCTTTATTGCACTCTCATTGTCCTGGTAAATGACATGTGTTCTTCCTAAATTTGGTTGTCCTTCCTTCTTCTTTCCATCCTTGATGTTGTCGGTCACGTGCTGATTCTGAGCTTCCAGGAAATATCGGGCCCACAGGATAAAAGTCATGTTGTCATCGACACCCACGACCTCCGCCTCAGTCGAGCTCTTTGTATTCAGTTTCTGCTTTGTGCATGTGGTGATTGCAGCGCCATTTCCGAATGTCATCACCCCTCCAGAGTGACTCTTCATATCATTATGGACTGCAAATGCAGCATCCACGTGCCAATACACATGACCACTGCCGTCCCACCCCAACACGAGTGGGATATATGGCTTTGATGAGAGGTATCGCATCACGCGGCCAAGCTTCCTCCAGTCATCTTCATCTGGGGCTGACACGCGTGTACACAGGAAAGCAACGGCCGTCTGTATATCTGGTCGTGCCCTCTTTGCCATGAACAGCAGTTTGGCTACATAATGGTGGAATTTGTCGGCTCTCTCCTCATCCAGCTTAATCCCTTCCTCATTGACCTTGAACAGATGGTCTGCTGCTGGGGTAACTGCACTTCCCCGCAGGTTATCCGGAAGATTCTGTATGATCTCTTCGAGATAGTCAAACATACTGAATTTCACTTTCCCGGCCTCACTGTAATCAATTGTCATCCCCACATAATCGTGTATTTTGCCACGTGTTTCAGTCAGTGGGGACTCCTTCCCAAACTCACTGTTTAGTTGCTGTATCACCTCGCTTACTACATCAGGGTCACTGTGGGATATCTTCAGGTCATCGACGTGCCATACTATTGTGCACTGCTTGCCATTTATCATCTTGTTCACTGTGCATGGATCGTAGGGATTCAACTCAAACCCCCACTCCTCAAGCTGGCCGTATAGTTTCTCCCAGAACAGCAGTGCCGCCCGTAGGGTGCCATATATTGCCTTCTCAGCCTTGGTGAACAGTGTCTTCTTCCCATTCTTGCAAACCAGATACTTCCTGTACATTCTAGGGTCCACCCGGCAGAGCAATTCAGCCATGGTCCCATCCAACCGTATGTACACATCCTCGCCCTCTGGCATGGGTGTTTGTAGGAAAGCACCTGGGATATCTACGGTTGCCACATCCCTACACTCTATTGCATCAATGACACATGAGAGCACCAGCGCGTACAATGACACTGTTGGTGATGTCGCATCCTCTTTTCGGATGTACTCTCTTTGTCTTCAGCCGTCTGCACACCCTCTCCCTTTGATTGATGTATCCCTCTTCCTCTTCAGGAACATCAGATATGGCAGCGCCTGCTCCTTTATCTCTGCTGTTAGCCTGTTGGGATCCAGGGCTGACACGACATTTCGATCATGCAGTTGCTTTAGTTCCTTCAGTACTGCATCCACTCCTGCCTTTCCAAATCGGCGGATTCCTTCCTTGATTCCATACTGTTTGGTGGCTTGTGTGGCGTCCAGGTTATTATAGTTTGCGATGGCGTTGGCAACAAGCATCACTGTCGATTCCTTTCCGCATAGCTGGTTCACTGCTCGTGTGTATCCTGCAGTGAAAAAGGATCTGCTGTGTATGCTGGTTGCAAAACCATCGGCCTCACTATATTTGTTGTGTGTTCGTGTTACCCTTTCCCGGAGCCTTGAGCTTACGGGTTCCTCACGGGTTCCACGGCTTCCATGGCTTCCACGTCTGCGGCGGTGTCCTCCTCATCTTCCAAGCCCCCGTCTGGTATTGTCTCCTCCCTGTCTCCACTGTCCTCGGCCCTGTCATCTGCTCCTCTGGCGGTATCCTGTTGAAATCTGTTGTCAGCAGCGGCTGTGTTCACTCCTGTATCCAGGTCGATCACTGTGTCATCAACAGCCAGCTGCTGTGCTTCAGCTTCCTCCATCTCATCTTCATCAACATACTCGCTCAGTGCAGTTTCCACTGACTGTTCATCCTCATTTTCCTGTCGATACGATCCGTCAGATGCATTGTCATCATCATCATTCACGTCTGCATCAACATCATCCAGGTCCAGGATAGTTATGTTCCCCTCAGCATCACCAAAATGCACTCCTCGTGGCATTTTGTCAATCTCACCAAGCCGTGTGACTCAGCGGATCAGTGTCCTGGTCATTGGTGTTGCTGTGCCGTACTTTTGGTGTATCCGCTTACCGCTGTTGATATCAAAGGCATAAAACCCCCCAGTGATTGACCCAGTCGGCCTCAGGTATAGTGCATCCACTGCACGGGGCCTCATGGTGTTGTCAGTGTCATCCACGTGGGCCAGTATTGGCTCCATGAACTGAAACTTGCAGTCCCTTGCTGCATTCAGACACACTCCGGTCATCAGCTCCCTTATCGACTTGGTTCTGTGAACACCTGTTGTTCTGCAGTTCAGCCAGTACGTAGCTGCATATATCAGCTCAATAATGCATCGCTTTGGCAGCCGCTTGAATGGCAGGTGATTCACATAGCACCGAACATTCTCCTTCAGTGTCCGGTTGCTCCGCTCGATAGTCGGTTCATGTTGTCCTGCTGCAACACAGTGTAGTGTGATGGGTGGGGATAGCTGTAACAGATCATCCTGCGGACATTGGAACTGGTTGTCCCCACTCACCTGTACTACTGTGAACCTGCGAGCCTGGTATTGTCCAGCCAGGCTTGCGATACACTCCAGTAGTGTGCTTTGGCGGGCATTTGTGATTGCTCTTGCGGTTCGAAACCTCAGGTGTCTGGATATAGAATGGAAGAACTGTACTCCATTTACTGTCATAATGTCCACGTGGAGCATCACTTCACCGTATCTTTCCAACACGTGTGGTGGCACCGGTGATATGTCCTCGCGCACATGTTCACCAGTGTGTCATACTGTTTTGCCTTTCACAATGCTAGCATGCTTTCCGTATATGATCTCTTCATTCTGCACGTCTCTCCTGGTCACTCCACAGTTGTTCACGAGCTTGTTTTCTATCATGTTGATGAGGTCCTTGGATGTGGGGAATCCCATGATTTCCTGCAGTTTCCTCGCTTTCATGGCACGCCTACAGTCCAGATCTGAGAATGCTGACTGCTGTCCCTCCACCGATGTTATGGTCAGTGTAATCCCGTGATGTTTCCTGATATCGCACGGTGAGCGTCCAAAACGTCTTGTTCCTCCACCAGGCTTGTGTACATGCAAGGCGTTGTCGCAGTCCGTGTCCATAGTTACACGGAACCTCTCTGAGACCAGTGCTAATGATAAAACATTTGCAATTCCTTTGTCATAGAACCACACCTCTCCGAACCCGGGTAGGTCCGCTATCAAGTTGGTGTGGGCCACTCCAGAGTTACAGTGTATATGCATGGTCTGCGAGTTTGGTGCTTTGCGTATGTTCTGTACAAGCTGTGGGTTCACTATCAAGTTGCATGACGATTCACTGTCAAGAAGTACCCAGTCCGGGTTGATATAACCAGCACTCTGTTTCGTGGCATGTTGGGCAAACAGGCGTTGAATGTTGTTGCTGTAGTTGAATACAGTTGTGTCACCCAGTGTCCCGCTTCCCGTGATGGTTCCCATCTTCATTACTCTTGTGGTGTGAACTTCCTCTGTCATGTAGCCCCGCTGAAAGAAACAGTTGGCCTCATAACCTGTGCTGCCGTCTCCAAAGTCCTCATCGGATTCGATTGCTCGCATGAGCAGCTGGTGACTATCCAGCTGTACATCCTCCTCGTCTTCTTCTTCTTGTTCCGTGTCGTTGCTGCGGTCGTTGCTCGTCACGGTTGCCCTGGTGACAAAGGCTGTCGCTTCATGATGACTTTGTGTTTTCACCTTTTGCTTTGCCGCACCCTTCACTCCTCCTTTCCGAGACCATTTGAATTGGTTCAGCATCCTCAACGCTTTGGTTGTTGTTGTTGGGTATCTATTATCCTCCAAGCTAAAATTATTCTCGAGGGTCTCCTTGAGTATGCTTCCTTCTTCAGCACTCCCTTCAATGATCAGTGCTGCTAACAAGCGTTGTCTTGCAGCGGCCTTGATCTCCTTTTTTGCTCTGTCTGCTTCCGGCAAGACCATGTAGTCACTGTACGATATCTCACCATATTCCTCTCTTTTGGCTTCCAGTTTGTACTTAATCAGCGCCGGACCTACTAGTTCCCCTCCTATTGCTTCCAGCACTTCATATTGTTGTACGATGCTTTGTACATACGCTGTATGGTCCTGGAATAGTTGTCAGGTGCATATCATCTTCCTGATCGTCCTTAGGATGTTGATCGGTGTGTATATCTCTGCCTTGTTACCTTGGTAGCATATGTCCCGTAGCGTCAGTAACAGTTGCACTGGGCATCTTGCTTTGCGGATCTCATTCCACTTGTCACTGCTCTTGACCTTTTCTATCATTCCTTCATCAATCTGTCCGTATGTTACGACATACATCTTCTCCATGTCTGTGGTGTATGCATCGAACCTCTTGACAGACATCTTCACCTCTTCTGTGTGCATTTCCAGTACTAGTCCAACCTTGACTGCTTCGACTTCCTTTCCTCCTACTGTCCAGTCTTTCACTGTTGGTCTTGTTGCCATGAAATCCACCCTTGTGAGCCTCCTCAATAATTCGATAGATAGTCCTACCTTTGGCATATATTTGGAGCCCCCAAGGGTTTGTAATCTTTTCTTCAGTTCATTGAATTGCTTTAAGCTCCCGTTTTCCGTGAGCACTATTCCTTCTAAATCTCCCTTGTTGTGTCCTGTAAATTTGTCGGTGTCGCCTTGGTCACTGCTCCGCTTTGCGTTGGTCTGTGCAGTCGTACTCTTCATCTTTTGTTTGTTCCATGACCGGGTGTCTTTGTTCCCCGCGGCGTCCAGCTCAATTTTGGCTTGCTTGTGTGTGTTGGTGGGTTCTTGCCCATGCCTTGATTCTGTTTTGTCCATCGTGTGGTGTCAATCCAGCGTCTTGCCGTTCCTTGCGAGGCTGTCCTTGGATAGCCTTCTTTGTGTGTGGATCCTTGAACCCCGTGTCCTATTCACAGTTGGTTCTTTTAACTGTGATAGCGTTAGTAATAGTAGTGATACTTTTATAATTTATGTTGATTCAATGTACGAGATGTCGGGTGTTTCACGAGAATCGGACATGAAGTCTTAAAGAGTTGGTAAATTACCCTATTGACTAGATAAATTATAAAAGTATGAGAATAACTCAGAACCACTTGGGATCCTGGTGACTTCTCACACTGTTTGTGATTATTTTGTACATTTGACCATTGGTGGATGCACGCGCGAACGTCTGTCCCTCAACAGAAATTGTACGGTTCTACGTACTGTGCGTTCATTCTTCAAAACCTACCATAGGTACCGTTCGAGTGTACGTAGCGTACGCGACACGACTCGATTTTTTCATTCATTGACACGATCTGAAAACGGGACTACGAAAAAAAAAAAACCGATTTGTCCCACTCTCCAAATCGACGATACGACCACCATCCTCGGTGGCGGTCGCTTGGAAGCGAGGGTTGGCTCGGTTGTTCTCTCTCGTTGAACTATAGTGGAGAGAAGTATCGCAACCGTGATGCAATACATCAAGAAAGCCAGTGCCGGGAGGGCAGTGCATGCGTTACATCCGGTCCCGCATGTTGCCACCAAAACACGCGGGGTGTGAGGGGATTTTCCCAACGAACACGGAAGACATACATCGCCAAACTCAGACTCTTGAAACATGCGATCATTTCGTTTTCTCATGTACRATCAAACGAGCTCGCAAATAGCTTCCTCTCTACCCATTGTCACGRCACTCTCCTGCAACATTCATTATTTTGYACAACAACAATTATTTTCTTGAGAGAAAGAGTGCAATAGTTTTGTTTCATCGATAGATTTGCATGTAACATTGCTTCGTTTTATCACAGCATTGAAGTACGTATTTTCTAGCAAGAACAGAACAGAACCAACGAACCAACGAATTAATCGATCATGTTCAAAAAGCTTCTACCCGCGAGTGCCCGTGCTTCGGCTTCTGCCTCGGGCATAGCACCACCCTCACCGCCTCCATCCAGGGAGRAAGCGGGGCACACCAGGAACGCGGTTCCTAGAGAGGAGGATAGATCCAAACCTCGGGAAGAAACTATCATTAACGAAGGAAAAAGCATAGACTGCAAAAACATCGATGAGCCGGAACTCGTTCTGCCCCCCGCCAGCTACTCTCCAACAGTAGTTGCCCCACAACTCCATCGAGGCAGCAGCGAGAAAGATGAAGAGGAACGCAGTGACAGCAACCAGAAGRGCCACACCCGGGAGGTTTCGATCGATACCACCACCAGCCAGAGCATCGACCTTTCTGGTTTGCTCAAGAACCTGGAAGATTCTCTGCAGCATGATCTGGGGGAACAGAGGGGAGGAGAAACAGCGGAGGCCTCTTCCTTCGGTGCCGATGAACCCGGCAATTGTAAATCTCACTCTCCGACTTCGATCGAGGTCGCTCACATYGATTGCACCGGCACCCGTAGGGACAGTTGCAAGACCAGTAGCAGCGATACTGTCAGCAGCGGTATTACGGACAACGACAAGGCTACTAGCAAAACCGAAACGACCGGGGTGGTTCGAGAGCTTTCATCAGAATCGGCAACACCGTTTGCGTCGGTCAACGAAGACTCGGATTGTCCCTCCTCGACASCTCTCGCCGACAGTGGCCATGATCTACACACAATGGTTCAGGTTGGCCAGCAGCTATTTCTGGAAAGCCTGGAAACTCATGTGAAAGAGGAGATACAGTCATTTGCCACCACTAGCGAAAGCTTRGTGCCGGGCATGGAGAAAAAGGGTAAGGATATTGACCGAGACAAGGCCCMCGTCGATGYACGTGCGAATACCGTGTCGAGTARCAAAGCAAYCTGTRCCAATCGTGCAGTTGTGAAAAAAAMGATTTTTGTCGGCATTGGAGTCATCGTCGCCGTATGGTTCTTCGCATTCGACAATGGTTGCATWATTCTTCGGAATCCTAACAGTTCCACAGCTCAAATTGCAGATACAGAAGACCYCCACAGTGTCGAAGAACATTTCTCCCTMCCCATTACTAATGTGCATTCCAGTGTGGAGATCAACAACACGGCGGACCGAAATAGTGACGAACCTTCGATTWCATCCGGCTTCAAGGGTCAAATCAAAAGCAAGGAGACAATGGACCACCAGAATGGCGAAGGGCCGATTGTATCCAGGACCGTTTCCAGTATGCAAATCGAGAATAGAGCGGACGACCACAACGATGCAATAMCAATTCTTCCCAGCACAACGTCCAACACTCAAGTCGAAGATTCATCAGACGACAACGAGGAAAAACCTCCGGATGAATCATGTGRCAGCAACTTTGGGTCTTGCGACGCCCCAGAAGGTGGTCCTTCAGGCTCTACCCTAATCGAACCCAGCATAACATTTGCCTTCTGTTCTTGGTTAACAGCTCTTTTTTTTGTTGCATGGGTACTTCGGATCTGGTTTCAAGCCACCTTGGCCTCTCGATTTTTGATGCCGAAAGTAGAAGGAAAAACCAAAATGGAGCCGATGAGTCCAATCTGCTCTTTGCCACGCCATCGCCAGGGCCATTTTCTCACCCCACCTCCGTTGTCCAAGCATAGATCTATGGAGCCGTCGGAATGGATGTCTCCCTGCTACGGAGAGGATGCTTTGRATGTGTCGGTGTACGAGTCCATRAAGGCTGCGGAACTGCGGAAGCTCTTGCGGGACCGCAAGTGCGACTATCGCGGAACAAAACAACAGATGATCAAAATGCTGGTCCAGTCGTATCAGAACGAGCTGGCGTGCTTGACGGTCCAGCAGCTCCGCCCAAAGTTGCGCAAGCGCAAGCTATCCCAGAAAGGGTCCAAAAAGGATGCGGTGCGCCGATTGGTAGAAGCAGGACCTGTTTGAAAAACTAATGGCACCGTAGCAATGCACCCACAAACGAATCCATGGATTGAATCAATCCATCGTAGTACCTCTTCGAACACAGCACGCATACGAGGAATGTCATGTCATGTCATGTCATGCAATCGTGGCACACCATATGGACGATACATCGACTTGAGGAAACACGTCTTCCTACTACTTCACGAAAATATGGACGATGCATCGACTTAAGAAAACATGTCTTCCTACTACTTCGCGAAAACACTCCATTTCCTTCTTCTTGCAGCAAGAAGTGGAATACAGTCAATGTTTACGAAACAAATTTTAGTAATGAAATAGATATCACTATTCATACAACTAGCAGTATTCAAACTACAGGGAGATCTCAAAATCTATGAGAAAAACCAAAAACGAGTCTGAGTTAAGTGTCTAGATAGAATCTAGACACTTCGTTCGTATGTACTCCTAGTACATACATTACATACGGCATACTAGTAGTGCTGTATTTGATTTTGTTTGCTCAGACTTYAGACACGTTTTCGTACGGTATTCCTTGACTAGGTAGATCCACGATGATTGATTGATTCGCTCACCTGACGTCATTTTCTCTACTCACCTAATGATTTTCAGATGCGTTCTGTTCCTTTKCTTCAAGCTTCAAGTGATGTCTTCAGGAACGCGCTCTTTCCACACTTTTTGTTCTTCCCCTCTAGGGAACACCTGTAGTCGTAGTTACGTACGATAAAATACGGTAGCTTACCCTACGGTACATTATGAATTGGGGACTACAGTACTTACTGATTGCTGGAACCCCGTCGACACCCCAAAGGATTTAAAAAATCAATTGAAGTTGATTCACATGTCGTTGGAATTTATTAGTAATACATTTACATTACAGTAATMAATCCTACAGGGACCTATTGGATAATCGATCGAGGTGAAGCGTGAGCATTCTTAGAACACTGCAGGGCACAAACAAACTCATCAACAGGATCTCTAACGAAAAAATACTCAAACTAATAGATCAGAGATGGTGTCCCAAACGGCATCGAAGCCAGTGCGGCGACAGAACAGCAACCGATGCGATTCTTTCGCACTGGGAATGCATTTGTTGTTGTTGCTATCGCTCACAATTATTTTTTCGGCACCACACGCATCTGGATTCATTGCTCCAGCAGTGTCTTCATCTCGGGCAATRCCTGCCCTAGTCACGCCATGTTTGTCGTCGAAAAAGAAACACCGATCTGCGAAATTTGCTTCCTCTATCGAAAACGAAACGACGCAAGGCGACAAGAAACCGACCAGAAATCCATTGAAGAAGGCGTACCGGATCTACACGGGATACGCGACACAGTTATGGAAGGAGACAGAGCCATCGGAGCGAACAAAAATCGCCAACGACAAGATAGCCAAGACCGTCCGCGATATGCAACACGTCTTAACGAGCGAGCACGAAACGATATCCATGCTCTCCTCGTCGAGCAGCAGCAATGGATGYGGAGAGGCGAGTAAGCAGCTCCTGGAATCGTGCGAGAATATGCTATCGGTGCTGGAGGAGACGAAAGAAATGAAAAAACAGAKTAAAAAATCCGCGGGCTCTTCTTCGACGGAAGTTGCGACGACGACCAGCCATGGCAACTCGGAGGCTCCAAAAAAAGAAAAAAAACAGCGATCAATTTTGTTTGGTGCGCTGATGGGGGCAGCGGTGGCCTGCTGGGTTTTCAGTGGCAACTATATTTTCACGGGCTTGTTTTGTTTGGTTACCATATTGGGACAGCTCGAATATTACCGTATGGTTATGCAAACGGGGGTCTTTCCGGCAAGAAGAATTTCCGTTGTTGGTGCGACAAGCATGTTCTTAACGGTATGTATTATTGTCTTTAGGACTTACTGAACCTGTTGGACGTCTCTGGTGGATAGTGTCGATTGTTTCGAGTTTGTTCACCTTTCTGATGATATCGAATGAAATTCTTTTCTGTTTTTTCGTCATTATTTTTTCGTTGCTAGGCTCTGTTTGCACCAGACTTGCATGAATTGTGTCTCCCTATGTTTGGTGCATGGGCGATGATATGGAAACTGTCCGTCAGAAGGAAAATAGCGACCATACCAGAGATCGCCACGACATTCACGGGCATGTTTTATTTGGGATACGTACCTAGTTTTTGGGTCCGAATAAGAACAATGGGTTCCACAATGATGGAACCTACACGGCTATTCCCCGTAACGGTAGCCATGAGAACTTWTCTTGAAAAAAAATTCGGCTTCTTAGTCCCCAAGACGCTGGTTCACTTACCGATCACGAGTGGCGCCGTCTTTATTTTTTGGTCGTGGATTAGTTTGGCATTCTCTGACGTCGGTGCTTATTTCGTCGGAAGGAAGTTTGGGAAGACAAAACTCGGCGCTCTATCGCCAGCTGCGGGAGCGACTTCCCCCAACAAATCAGTGGAGGGTGTGATCGGTGGATGTGTCGTGAGCTCACTATTCTCTGTAGCAGGTGCCTGGGCGCAAAAATGGCCTCATTTTTGGCTCACAGGGGCCATTCATGGAACCATTCTGGCGTTGTTGGGTCTGATAGGAGACCTGACAGCGTCCATGCTGAAACGCGACGCTGATCTSAAGGATTTTGGAAACCTTATTCCGGAACACGGTGGTGTCATGGACCGAGTTGATAGCTTCGTCTGGACCGCACCCTACAGCTTTTTGGTCTGCGCCTACATTATTCCTGCTCTGAAGGCTGCGG